CTGCTGCCCTTTTCCTGCTGCCCTTTTCCTGCTGCCCTTTTCCAGCTTCCCCTTTTCCAGCTCCCCCTTTCCCAACCTCCCTTTTCCAGCTCGCCCTTTCCACCTCCTCCTTTTCCAGCTCTTTTCCAGCTCCCCCCTTTTCCCGCTGTCCTTTTCCAGCCCCGGCCCAGCACTGTGTCCGTGCCCCCGAGCTGGAACCGGCCGGGTTTCCCATCTCCATCTCCCCCGAGCTCGCCCCTGCGGAGAGATCCCGGCGGGCAGAAGCCGCGCCCCGCTCGCAGCACCGGCCCGGGCTAAGGAGGCTGCGGAGCCCGGCACTGATGATGCTCATTCCTTTATTGTGTCCTTGCCATCCTGGAGGGCGCTCCCAGCGCGGGCTCGAAGCTACATTACAGCACAGTGAGGAGCGTCCGTCCCGCCAGGAACGGCCTCTCTCCACACACTATGTATAATATATATATATTTATAATATGTCCTGTATATTCCTATGTATAGAGTGACAAGGATGGGCCACCAGACAGTAAACTTTTGTTTTCTAAATAAATCACCAGAGCAACAGGCACGAAAATTTGGTCCTAATCGAGGCCCTCACCTTGTCCATGAACCCGGAACAGACCCACACCCCCCTCCCCGCGGAAAAACGGCCAAACCTGAACCCCAAAAGAACAGTTCAACAACAACGAAAGGAAGCCCCAGCCCAGCCCCCGTCCCCGAGGAACAGCCCCGCGGGACACACGGACACCGAACGCCACCGACACACACCCGAGCGCTCCCGGCCCCCGCTCCGCGCTGGGGAAGCTCCTCGGAAGGAGCTCGGGAGGTTCCCGGGCCCCCGAGCGGCCCCGGGCGCTGGAGGTGCCGCATCCCCTCCCCTGCGGGCGGCTCCCGGTGCCGGGCTCCGCTGGAAGGGATCCCGAGGATCCCACCAGAGCAGGAACCGGGCCCGGGCCTCCCTCGCCATGGCACAGGGACAACCAACGCAAACTGTGGGAAAGCCACACTCCCATGGGACACAGCCACCCTTCCCTGGGACACAGCCACCCTTCCCTGGGACAGAACCACCCTTCCAGGGACACAGCCACCCTTCCCTGGGACACAGCCACCCTTCCCTGGGCACAGCCACTCTTCCCTGGGACACAGCCACCCTTCCCTGGGCACAGCCACCATTCCTAGGATGCTCCCTGGCCCTTGGCAAGCCGGGGGATGAGGACACCCTCAGCTCCTGAACTGTTTCCCACACCCTGGGTGAGAATGGAGGCAAGAGAGTCACTGCTTCATCACTC